ATTCTAGTTAGAAAATTTAGCCTAATTGAGTGAAAATCTACTCTAATGATTTGAGTTGCTTAGTAATCGGGAGTATTCATCATAAATTTTTACTTTTACATCAAAAGACAATTTGAATTATGAGTATACAAAGCATTCTAGGTTGATGACTTGTTAAGTAATCGGTTGCTTTCGTTACAAATGTCAATAGTCGAGTAAAAAGACAAGTGATCACTTATAGAAGAACTATTAAAGGCCTTGAAAAAGATTAGGATGCTAAAAAGAGAAAAAATTTGATTAAAAGAAAATCTCAATTTATTGCTTTACTTGTAGTGGTGGAAAAAGAGCAAGGGCAAAATAGGTGTTACATGCTTGAATTGCGATTGGTTATAAAAAAACATAAATCAATTTAGAGATATGTATAGATATGAGAATAATATCTTAAACATTATCGACTTGATTATTTAATTTTGTTAAATTCTGAATTGAGCATCAAATTGAAGGATACTAGCATGACAATCATCTAAGTAATTTTATGGGTTTATCGTTTAAAAACCCTCATGAAACACAACTCGTCACTTGGGTTAACTTAGGGGTTTAAAGACTTGTTGCATGTGCTAAATGCAATCGTGATACTTATGAAAGTGAGTTAGGTTTTGTTTTCTTTGTTTTGTTTTGCTCAAGGAATAGCAAAGTTTAAGCTGTAGCGGGTATTTGATTAGTGCATAATTAGCATGCTTTTTATGTTCTTTTACATAGAACGTTTTTGTATTTATTGTATTATATTTAAAAAATTAAAATCAAGATAATAATTTTGAATTTTATAGGAAAAATAGCGAATTAAAGTAAATAAACCCAAGCTAAAACAAGAAGAATCCAAAGCCACAAAAGGAACCAAATGAGACATACGGTCATGTCACTTACAAGAGGAAAAAAGCAATTGGTCGTGTGAGACAAAGAAGAAAACTGTGTGGATGTCCAACATGATTAACTTAGACCTTTCAAACTTTTTATAGGTTTTCTAAAGCCTTATAGTTGGATTTCAAAGAAGTGGTCTTCAAAGAATTTATAGCGGACATCTCAATCTTTCTATAGTGATGTATTAGGTCAAAATCCTAGTTTTTTTAGGCCTCCAAATGATATTTCATATTTTGATCTAAAAAGCTTATCCGAATTCTATTTAGAGTCCGGAGTAGTTGTGAAGTTTAATATATATCTAGAGTTTTAGAACCCCGATTGATGCAAGGCTAAGCCTATGAAATACTTAATACTCATACCTATAAGTCTTATGAAGGTATTGAGTTATAAATAGGTTGTTATCATGGAGGAATTCAGCTACTGAGGTGAAATCCTAAGGTTCAGGCGAACGAGTTGAGTCGATGTCGGTATTTAGCTTGTAACTCGGATTTATAAATATCCAATTGATACAAGCTTTAATTTGTTGAAAAGATAAGAAATAGGCATACAACTTTAATAAAGAATGAAAATCCTAATTCGGCATGTATTAAGTTCATTCAAGCTAATTATTTAAAGACATAAGATAAAGTAAAAATTCCACGTGAACAAAAGCTAGGGACATGGGATAAAGAGAAAAAATCACATGAGCGGTAGCTAAGGACATGAGATGAAGTAGTAAAAGGCATGAGATGAAGTGCAAATGGCATATGGCCATGTGCCTAAGTCAAGCAAGTCATGTGTCCATGTATGGCTATCTTGTGTGCGTTGTAACCTTACCTTTTGCTATAAATAGAAAACCTAGGGTTTCACTTTATTCATTCTCTCATTCTAGGGAGATATTCTCACTTTTAGCGACCACCATAGATTGAAAATCCACCTTTGTAATCGATTATAAACAACTAAACATCCATATTGGTTGAAAAAAGTTAAAGCTTTTGGTTAAATAGTTATGAGATCGTAACGGGTTTTAATTTTAAACATATTCTTTTTTAGTATTTTATGTTTTTCTTTATGATTGTATGATTAAATTGGTTAGAATGCACGTTAGTTATTTGATCATCATAATCTATTGCTGGCTAAGTATTCAAATTCATGTAATTGCTTGTCTACACTTGCCTATGGTAAAAAATAGGAGGTCATGATTATAAATGCATTTTTGTTAGATCCCTTAGAAAATATAGAACTAGATTACATCTTTTTAGCATCTAAAAATGATGATTTGGCTTTACTTGTCTTTCTTTACATTAATATTGTTATTGGATTAAATCTATCTAGCGTCTAATAGGTTATTCAATGACTAGAGAATTAATCAAGTATCGTATATTTGGTTAACAAATCACTAAGAAAAGATTAGGTATAACATACATGTTGTTGTCCTATAATAAATATTTATGTTAAGGATAGGTTAATAATTGAATTAATGATCAAGGAGTAAACCAAAAGTTACGAAACTTCAACCAAAGCCTTTCCCATTATTCATATTTAATTTAACTTTTGATTGCTTACAGTTCATCATAAACACAAACCCCCTATTTAATTCTTTTGCATTACGGAACAATTAGACAATAAAGACTATTAATTAGGCCACTTCTCTTTGGGTTTGATCCTTGTTTGCCCTATCTACACCCTTGTGGTTGAGTTCCATGAGAAAAATATAAATTACAAATTTGTTGGCGGAACAACACGCCATCAATTAATTTGTTTTTTGAAACAAGAGAAATTAATTTATAATTTACTCACCATTTTCATTGTATTCATTGGGTTTGTTTTATGTTCTCATTGGGCTTAGGCCCACTTAATTTCTTTCCTCTAGCAATTATCTTTAAAAAAATATCTATTTTTTATTTATATTTATCTTAAAATATTTATTTGGTTATAATTATATAAAAAAATATTTTCTTAAAATAAAGTTCTTTTTTCCAAAAAATTATTCAAATATAATTTTAAAAAATGTATTTGTAGAAAATATTAATAAAAAATAATATAGCATAATAATTAATAAAATAAAGTTCATTTTGCAAAAAAAAAAAAAAAAAATTCAAATAGAGCTTGTCTTAATTTTTCTATTTTTTTCTTTAACTTTTGTTTGTTTATTAGAATTTTAGCGACTAAATTATAAATTAGTCCCTCTAGTTTTAAAAAATTAAATTAAGTAGATTTATTTGTTTCAAAAATAATTATTTAGGTTTTTTTCTATTTTATATTGATTTCTTTTCTTTTCTTTTCTTTTCTTAAAAATAAACATATATTAATGAAATATTGACGAGAAAAGAATATTTTTTGAAGTAAAGTGATATAAATATGATTAATTCGATTGAAGGATTAAATAAATAGTTTGTAATATAAGGAGAACTAATCAATTCATTTTTTATAACAATTGAAGTCAATAAAATGTCTTTCTTTTAAGGGTCATGTTTTTGTATGAGTACATGGTAGTATAATCATTATAGATCAAGAGATGATTTTTCAAAATAAGTGAAACCCACAAAATTTCTTTTCTTTAAAAATCATGTTTTGATATGGGTATGGGATAGCTTATTATAGAGATGATTTATTCAAAACAAGTGAAGCCCATAAAATTTCTTTCTTTTAATGATCATGTTTTGGTATGGGTATGGGCTAACCCATCACATATCAAAAGATGATTTTTCAAAACAAGTGAAGCCCTCGAAATTTATTTCCTTTAAGAATCATGTTTTGGTATGGGTATAGGATAGCCCATTATAGATCAAGAATTGATTTTTCCAAACAAATGAAGCCCATAAAATTTCTTTTTTAAAAGATCATGTTTTCACATGGGTGTTGGGTAGTTAATCACATATCAATGATTTTTCAAAACAAGTGAAGCTCGTAAATTTTCTTTTCTTTAAGGATTGTGTTTTGGTGTAGGTATGAACTAGCCCATAACATATCAATAAATGATATTTCAAAACAAGAGAAGCCCACAAAATTTCTTTCCATTAAGGATTGTGTTTTGGTATGGTTATGGGCTAGCCCATCATAGATCAAGAGATTGTTTTTCAAAATAAGTAAGCTCACAAAATTTCTTTCCTTTAAGGATCTTGTTTTGATATGGGTATGGGCTAGCCCATCACATATCAAGGGATATTTTTCAAAACAAGAAAAGCCCATATTTTTTTTTCCTTTAAGTATCATGTTTTGGTATGGGCATGGGCTAATCCAAGAGATAATTTTCGTTCTATGTTCTCATTCGGCTAAAGCCCACAAAATTTATTTATTTATTTATTTATTTATTTTTAAGAATCATGTTCTACGAGAGTAAATTATAAATTAGTCCTTCTCGAATTAATTAGTCCAAAAATATTATGCTTTCCTTTGCTTTTTGGATTTTAAGAGATGTCATGGGCCTAAATTGCAGTGGGTCCAATTTTAAATCTAAAACAAATCTTGCAGTTAGCACTTTCAGCCTGAAAGAGTAAGAACAAAAAAGTATTGGCCCTTTTGTCAGATTGGGTAGCAAATTGTTTAGTATCAAGTTTATAACCTCTTGAATATGTTTTTAAACAAATCATACCGAGTCGAATTGGCATATTGGTAAAAGTTTTTTCTTCTTTTAAGTTTTTTTCCGAAGATTTTTAACCCTAGATAATAAGATTAGAGTAAATTCAATGACAGCTTGGCTAACCCTGCAAGTAATAATATGGTTCATAGTATGATTTTTTTTCTTTTTATCGGTTAATCTAATTTAAATGTTTACACAAATTGTGCTATCATATTTTTGTCCATAAGACATCCAAATATCAACCAACACTAGAAAAGGAATATCAAAACGCAGTTAAACAATCCACCCATTTGAATATGTCGAATTAACTTTTTACCTCACATGTAGCTTTATTATCAACTACTAAATCAAAAGGCACTGACAAGAAAAGTAAAGATGGTATATATAAAATTAGTACGCATTTGAGTTGATTTCAGTTGTTTTTGTAAAAAAATGCTTTTAAATTTAAAAGTCATCAAATTTAATGTTTTTGAAGTTTTTGATAGTGATATGTTTAAATCATGCAAAAACACCTTAAATCAACTCCAAGGCATGTGAAAAGACCGTCAATTTGCAAAGACATTACCAACGTTAACATGGCTTCTTCTTGGTGGAGATAAATGGCCATCATTTGCATACATGAGGGGCAGTAGGGCACGGGATGGGAGCGTGAAACACGCCCAAAATTATTGGGTAAGTACCAAATGAACGAGCTTTTAATGTTGAGGTATGACCTGCACTGTTTTTGATGAGTCCTTAGCTTTCCGTTTTCCAAAAGGCAAATGGTTTTGATTCCTGATCAGATACAGGAGCCATGCCCATATCCTTTATGGAAAACGGAAAGCCCATAAACCTAAATAAGCTAAGGATACATCAAAAACAGTGCACGTCATACCTCAACCTTTTAACAAGTGCAAGACATGCGCATGTATGTGGCAGAGCAACTCTGGCCAGCTGACACATAACAGCGACCCATAACTCCCATATTCCTTGTTTTGCTATAACCTGATACTGAATTCATGGTACGTTTTAAAAGGCCCGCCTAACCTACTTAACGCCCCGTTAGGGTTTCCCAGACTTAACATCATTCCGTCACATGAAGCACCACATCAAAAGCTTTCGAACAATAAATCCAGTCAAACATGCAAAATAAATGCTTCGTCGAACATTCAACCCTATTCCAAACCGGGGGTACTGAATTCATTATATGTCTTAAAAGGTCCACCGAACCTATTTAACGCCCAGTTAGGGTTTCCCACACCTAACATCATTCCATCACATGAAACACCACATCAAAAGCTTTCGAACAATAAATCCAGTCAAACATGCAAAATAAATGCTTTCGACACTGTCCTCCCATCCACCCCTATTCCAAACCTGGGGTACATGCACATGAGTTCATAACATCGAACATTCTTCTTCTTTTTTTCAAAGCAAGAAAGATTTAACATTCTAGCTACTTAGTCGAAACTATTACTACTGAACATTCTGGGACCAACAGCATCCAGAGGAATATCTATAGCCAGCCGAAATATCTAAACTTTGCAGGATCCCCGCATGTTACAGCTCAAAGGCTAACCCACCCTCCCACAAAATCAAATCATATGGTTCTGCTTACTCAACGGTTAAGGACAGTTAAAAAGATCCCTCTATTGATCATTTACCATTTCTGTTCATGTAAAACCAGATTTGTACAGCTCTATTTTCACCATAAAGGGCCCAAAAAAACAAACAAAATAAATTACACTAAAAAAAAAAAAAAAAAAAAAACCAACCCCCCAAAACACTGACATCTCTCCTAAACCAAACCCAGACTTAAGCCGCCAAAACTGGACTCTCTGTCACATCTCCTTTGGGCATTCATCAATTCAAGCTGGATAGTCAAGTCCCAGCTCCATCTTACACGTGTCAACATCACAAGATCCGAGAGCTTCAATTCTTCTTTTCTTCACAGGAACCACGTGATGCGCACGTGACACGGGCTCAAGGCCCAGAGTCAAGTCCAGCCCAAGCCCAGCAATTTCGTTGCTGGCAGCGTCATGGGCAGCCAAATCGCTCTTCGACTCCGGCTCGGCTATGAACAGTAATGAAGCTTCAGCCGTTTCCACAGACACCATGCTCTCATCAGTCTCTTTGCTTTCCCCGTCCACCATTGCCAACTCGGATTGGTGACTCACCGAGGACTCGTGACTCGTAGAACGAGTCAACTCATCTCTTGCCCCCAACGTGTCAGCAACGATTGACCCCAGCCCATTACCACCACAATTCGGCTTGCTAGCTTTTGGCTTCACAGCTCGCCTGACTCGACACCGAGTCCTGACTCGGTTAGCATCATTTGACGCAGCTGAGTTCTCATCTTTTGAAACGTGTCGTATATCATAAGCTTTCAGCGGCGGTCCGTGACCATTAGCTGCGATTTCAGAGTTAATTGGAGTTATGGGCGCTCCTTTTAGGACAGCTTCGACTGCGGCTTGACAAAGCTGCCAGCTTCCCGACCACATCAACCCAACTGATCCGTAAATTGGGTTCACTATCCTCCCACACGCCTCGTAAAGCAAAGACCTAAAAATTGCTGTCACAAAAAAATTAAAAACCATCAATTTTCAATCCTTGACATGAAAATTTCGAGGCATCATAAAAAATATATTGGACTTTGAGAATTTTCTTGCATTAACAAGAAATAATCTTGAATATTTTACATCAAAATCTTAAAAGGGTCATTAAGAATTCTTGAACTTCCAAAAGCACTAAAAAAATATGATTTTCTGACATAAAAAATTTCAAATGTCATGATAAATTCATTAAAAAACAAAAACGACTATCAAGAACTTTGAGCCATTTATTTCACTAACAAGAAATAAGTTTGAAAATTTGAAATCAAAACTTAAAAGGTTCGCAAAAAGATCCATAAATTTTCAGAGCCATTTCTTGTTGTACAATTTTGATGAGAACCCAAAAATTCTTAATTTTATTTTTATTTTTATTTATACACTAACCAGGACGGAGATGTTCAGGGCCAGCGTTGATGAGGTTCATAAGCCCAGCACGGCCATAAAACTTGGCAAGAAAAACAGTGGCGTTGGCTTGAGATTCAGGACTCTTGATCCATTGTAAACAAGGTCTAATACTGCAATTTTCGCTACAACCTTTGCGTAAAACTCTACATCCATTACAACTCATCCGCATTTTGGCTTCCAATTTTGCAACAGAAGACTAGTACAATATTGAATAGAAGAGCAGAAAAGAAAGAGATTTTGATCTTTGTCGCTGAAGGGGGAAGGAAGAAAAAAGAGAGAGAAGTGAGTATTTAAGGGGATGTGTTGTGTGTGTGGGACAAAAGGTGTGCTTGTATATGAATAAGAGAGGAGAAGAAAAAGAGCCGCTGGATTTACTGGTACAAGGGACTCAACTTGTTTTTTTTATTTTTTTAATCTTCACAAACACTGGTTTCCACATTCAAGGAGGCTGGAGTTTGCACTACTCCGACTCCATCTTTCTAGTTTTTGTGTGCTTAAAATACTCATTTAAAAATGTTAAAATAAAAGGACAATTTCCTATGTTGTGCCTACTTGCATCTAGAGAGCGTGATGGCAACTCCCAACAGCGGGGGCTTGTTAAATGTTGGCATAGGCGGGAGCTGTTGCGTGGCGTGACAACATAGGCTAAAACTTTTTGCCTTGGTAACGGATGCTACCTCTTATTTGGACTTTCTGCTTTACTAATGTGCCCTCCTATTGAATTGAATGAAAACTGTTTCGATTCTTTTTTTTATATATAATTGTCTATCCATAGGATATTTTATATATTAAATAAATAAATTTTACGCTATAATTATACAACTAAGATATATTTGTTATCTAATTTTTCTTATGATTGTCCACCGTTTATATTGCTTTGTTTTCCATACACTAGATATTTAATATTAATTGAAAAAATAAATAATTATAAACACAAGCTAATTGAAAACTGAATTCGTATAGAAAAATTGAGTTAAACCATATAATAAATTTAATAAAATATGGTATTCTATAAAGTTGATGTTTTAATATTATTATTTTTAGGCTATATCAAATCCGAAATGCAGCTCTTATAAATTTTGGTATATAAAAAAATTACTTGTTTTATTTTTTATTCAACAACAATAAAGGAAAAAAAACTTGTTTTTATGCAAAATGAAACGGAGCCGAGTTTGGTTAAAAGCAAATCGAGGGCAAAACAGTCCATTAAAAATACAGTCGAAAGTATGCTAGAGCGAGAAGGAAAATGTTAAGAGCCGGCATGCAAACGGGTCCAAAGCTTAAGAAACAAGAGAACAGCGCGTGGCATCCACGTTTAGGTGTCAGAGTGCGGTCGAATCGCCACATAATCGGGAAAGAGAGTTTGGGTCCACCCGGTATTTAATTTAAAACAAATTAAATGAAAACAAAATTAAAGCTCCCGGTTTTCGGGAGGTCGTGTGCTAAAACCGCTTATAGGCAAAACAAGTAACCGGTTTCTGGGTTTTTTTGTGTGTTGTTTTGGGACTGTGGGCGCACTACATGACCAATTTTGCCAATGGTTTTGGAGTGGGTCTTCGCTTTGTTTCTTTGTGCTTATCCTTCGACACATGACTAACAACTTGGATTAGATTAGATTAGATCATCAGATTAGACTAAGATTAGTTTAAACTCAAAGTTAACCATCTTTTTTTTTTTTTTTGGTTTCTATTTCAAAGATGGGGACAACTAGGTAATTAAGCTAAGGTCATGGGTCAATGGTTGATTCGGGTTGATTGATCATACCCAATCTTGCAAAATTGAATATTTCAAACCGAACCAAACCTAAATGGCCCAAGAGCAATCGATTTCAAAGTCCGTTTGGTAAGCCTTTTGTTGAGGTGGATTAAAACCATTTCCATTGCTAACCCAAATTGATCAGTGTTGCTTCTCATCAAATTCGATCTCAAAACAAAGTATATCGATTCTTCAATTTATGATTAAGACTTTCGCAATGAAATAATATAGAGTTTGATTTCATCTAGTAAACTATTAGAATTTTCTCGTGGATACTAAATTTAAAGAAAAAAGATAAAAATAAAATAAATGCTATTAATTAGAAGAAATAACATTCAATAGATGGAGAAAATTTCATCAATCGAAAGAGACAAAACTCATTGAAAAAAATATAAATATTATAGATAAAAAAATATGACACTTACATCATTAGCTATCGAAACATTCGAAGCCGGTTGTCCACAATTAATGACGAATCAACACTTTTTAAGTTACAATAACAAAATTACCGAAAGTAGTAAAAACTATTGAACTACTTGCGGGAATGTAAAAACTAATTGTTACAAGGTAAACTAAAAAAACTTGAAGATATTTATGTACGATTACGTTAGTCCTTCTTTTTTAAATAGTCGTCAATCAATAACCGCATTGGATTTAAAGTTAGGCATGAACAATTATTGATAAATGTCCCTTTGTTTTCTTTAAACATGTTGTCTCATTGAATCGACTAATTACAAGACTAAATGCTTCGTTTCATTTAAGTCTTATTATTTAGTCGCATCCGGTTGATTATAAAACCAAACACATCTTTTTATTTAAATCTTAATGTCTTATCGAGCACTGGTTGGTTACAAAACCAAACGCCTTATTTCATTTAAATCTTAATATTTTGTCGAAACATGGTTGGTTATACAATCACATGCACTTGTTTCACTTAAGACTCATCGCTTTATCAAAACTTGATTGGTTATAAAAGTAAACGCAACGTTTCATTTAAAACTCGATGCTTCATCAAAATTCGATTGGTTATAAGACTAAACATATCATTTCATATATGTTTTCTTGTTTCATCGTAAGAAGATACCATACTCGATCGATGTGTGATTTTTTAAAAAAATTTAAAGTGTCAACATTTTTTAAAAAATTTTAAAGTGTCAATTCATGCCCTCTTTTAGCCTTTTAGAGATGAAACGATGAAAAATTCTCCGTAAAGGATTAAACATTAAATGCCGATAGACATTATGAGATTGTGCATCATTTTATTTTTTAAATGGCTAGTTACGATCACTTTCATGCCTCGGTTATCTAATAGTCGGTGATTTTTATTTGATTACATCCGAACCGTCAAACCTTAAAGCTAAACCATCATAACCCTTAAAATATATCATATAAAAAGGAAGGTGATTTTCAACATTTTCACTTTTACTATAATTTCTCCCTCCGTTGGACCTAACAAGACAAAAAACTTTTGCTTTTTTTTACATTCTATCGAACATTTCTTCTACCTTTTGTTAAATTCCTCTTTCATTTCTTCGCAAAGAATGGCTTCAAAAGGAAATATTAAGTTCTCAAAGAAAGTTATTCGAGAGAAAGTTACCCTCCGAAAGAGATTGCAATCAACTAAATGAGCTCTTCGAGTGCCTTTTCCAAACTATTACCGGTAATGATGTCTTCGATTTGTGATTGGACATAAAAAAACTCACAATAAAGTTCTTATTTGATGTTGGGTCCTATTGTCAATAATGAAGTTATTCATCTTGCAAAGATGATCGATGCGACCTTTCCAAAGACTTACGATACTAGTATACTCTTTTTCTCTAAACTCTACCTAACTCTCTAAAATTAAACTCAATATGCTAAAGCTTTCCCTATTGTATGGCCAAAACCGGACACTAAATACAAAAATTGGGTTAAGAGAAGAGTTATCCCTTAATTAGGTAAGAAATGGGATAAAATAAGAATTCGCAAGGCCTTCTTTTATTGACCCACTCTTACAATACAAATCTTGGCTTAGTGATCGCAATGGTCACCTTCAGAATTTGTGTATCAATTAATTTTAGTTCCTAAAAGGGCACATGTCGATGATCATACTTAATGTTATGGGCATCACCGGTTTATATCCAATCGGCTAGACTTCGCTGTCAACACCGAAGTTGTTCATCTTATAAAGATGATCGATGTAGTCTTTCTAAAGACTTACGATATCGGTATACTCTTTTTCCTAAACTCTACCTAACTCTCAAAAATTAAACTCAATCTGCTAAAGCTTTCCCTATTGTATGACCAAAACCAAATACCAAATATGAAGACTAGGTTAAGAGAAGACTTATCCTTTAATTAGGTAAAAAATAGGATGTAATAAGAATTCGCAAGGCCATCCTTCTATCGACCCACTTTTACACTATAAATCCTAGCTCGGTGATCGCAATGGTCGTCTTTTGAAATCCTTGTATCAATCAATTTTAATCCCTAAAAAAGCACATATCAATGATCGTACTTAATGTTATGGGCATCACATGTTTATATCCAACTAGCCGGACTTTGATTTTCATGATGAATAATGCGGACCTCAAAATCCAAGAGAATAGGCATCCCAAAGCTTATGGAAACCTAGTCAATCACTATGAAGAAGGGTAGAGATATCTCATGATGAGGAGATTGATTTCTATCTATTATGGATTTACAAATACATTATTGGCTTAAAGTCAAAAAAATCAATTAAAGTCTTTCTACCTTAGGCTATCAACTTAGGTTCACTTGATAGGATGAGTATAGTCGTTATAGGTCTAATCCTTCTTACCTATGCATATGCGGGACTTCATAATGCATCAACTAGTAGACTCAAGACCTTATCTTATCCTTTTTGGTTTGTTCGGATATGGGGAGAGTTCTATCTTAATCTATCAAAGAAAACCTGGATAGCTATGGTCACTCCCTTATACATGAGATACCATATCAACCTCTAACTCTTTCAAATACTTTAATATACATTCTTGACCTTAAGCATAGACGAGATGCATTAAAAAATTGAATGTCATTTCATACGATTGCTATGGGTCATTGTGGTTTCACTCAAATAAATTACTTTATAAGATATAATTTTCTACTAGTGAACAATCGATCTAGAGTGTAGTCTTAGTAAATCAAGACTTGACTTACTCTCTTAGAGATCTAGTGTTTATCGAAGCCTATAGCTCTAAACTCTATGCTCAACAATTTGGATTAATCCAAATAGTGGTAAGACCATTGATTTTAACTATCAATCAGCATTGGAATAAGAGAAAAAACATTTGAGATTTCTTGAAATAGGTTGTTGAAAGTGAATCGATGGCTTATGCCAAGGTACGGAACCTTAATGGTTATTACCCAAAAATTGAAGTGATTTCCTCTTTTACTGTGTTTTGGTAATCATCT